CCCCCCTGCCCAGCCCAGCCCCTGCCCACCTTGCTCCCCACACCTCCCAAGGTCTCACCTGCTGCCCCCCTGCAGGCAGTGCTTGCCCCTCCCCTCTGCTGGCTGACTCCTCCCCGCTGCATCACCAGCTCCCGCATCACCTCCCCGAGAAGCTGACCACACCACACACCCCGCCCGCCCCCAGCATGTTCTTGGCATGTGCTCCACATATCACTCGGTGCCACCCCTAGTTCAGCCATCACCACCATCAGTTTAGAACGTTTTCTTACCTCTTGTGCTCATCGTCCTGAGCTCCCTAATTCCCCGCCACCCTCCGCCCCAGGTCGAGCCCGGGCCCCCTGGGGGAGTAAAGAAGGGGTGCGGGCCTGCCCCTGCCTCTCACCATTGGGGTGGGGAGGGAGACCTCAGGGTTCCCACAGCCGGTGTCTGCGAGGTTCCTGTCTCTGTGGCCTTGTCACCTCTTAGCTGCTGCCGCCCGTGATGCAGCAACAGCCCTCCCTCTTCCACGACACCCCCAGCTCAGGCCCGGGCTGGGGCCTCTGAGAACAGCGTGTATATTCTCCCCGCCGCCACACGGCTCAACCATCACACTGCCCACGGGGCTCTCCATGGCCTCAGGGGGCAGGCAGGGGCCCTGGCTCTGCTAGCGTGGCTCCACAGCCTCCCTCCTCCTCTCTGCATGTCCCTTGTTCTCCTCTCCTTTCACACTGGGTGTGCCACGCTGCTCGCTCTTGTTCTGCTGTGTGCCGCCCGTGTGTGCACGGGCAGCAGGTGTGCAGGTGTGCGTGGACGTGTGGGTGAGTGTGAGCGGTGTCAGCATACCTTGATGCGGCGGAGCGCCTGGGCCAACAGATATGTTCTAATCGGCTGGCCTCTAGCGGTTGACCTCCCCCCTGGCCCTGACCCTCGCCTGGCCCACTCAGGCTCTCAGATGGTGGGGTACGCTGGGTCCTCTGGGGGTGGGCGGCTCTTCCTGTCACCCCTCTCTAGCTCAGAGTGGAAACAACCCCCAGAGAGGCCGAGCAGCCTGTGGCTTCACCAGAACTGCACCCCTGCAAGGTCTGCCCCAGCCCCAACCGGCACCCGAAAACCTCAGGTGGGGTCTTGGATCTCTTCAGGGCTCCACTGAGGATCTGACCTGGGGAGGAAAGGCTTTGAGGAACACTGTGGCAGCCACGAGGTGTCCCCAGACCACTGTAGCCCCATCCCCTGTCCCCCTTCCTCA